ATGTACATACCATATTTGTTCTATTAGAAGCACATATCCAATAGAAGAAGATGTTAAACAAAAAATTAGATCATGTATAACTTATTTTACCAGATACGGCTGTCATTTACATAAACAAATGCACTACTAATAAGACAGATATGGTATACACAATATGCAAGATGTGTACTGTAAAATGACTAATTTTCACTGGGTTTAAATTTCGCTGATTTACCATTTCAGGCATATTCAGTGGGTTTTAAATTCACAGTTTCGTCATTTAGATAATGTGTTCTATGCTAAATTTTACATATTCACTGGGTTTTAATTTAGCGCATTTTTCCAGTCAGCGAAATAAGCTAAATTAAAACCCAGTGAATAATTAATCCTTTTACAGTATGTAAATAATGTAGTCTAGTTTGAATTAAACCTGACAGCCAAAATAGCTCCCCTGTTTTAGCAGAGTCTTGCACTAATAAGGTCATACATAGTTACATGAATATTTTAGATCAAGAAACCGTGTCTTTGTTTACATTTTATAATAAGCAACATGTATGTTGTGATTATTAACAGTACCCTAGTATTGGATTCAACAACTCTGCTTGAAGGAGTTGTCTGAATTAGTGGAGTGTTACTCTGATGTCACAAAATAAACTATTAAATCTAAGTCTGCACAGGTACACATATACTAAGTATGAAAGCAATTGGAGTAGCGGTTTTCAAGAAGAAGTCGAAAATAGAATTTTCACCAAAAATGACAAAATATCTTCACTAAAAGTTCAACTCTAAAAGGAGATTAGTAGACTGTTTTGAGATGTACAAACAAGCTGAAATAATGTTAGTGTAACATTACAATATGTCTAGTAAACATAGACAGTATTCCTATTATAGGAGACAAATTAAAAAAACCCCATCACCATAGATGAAAGCATGGTTTTTGTTAAATAAATGAAAAATAAAAATTCATTGCAAAGGCACCATAGCATTAGGCACTGTTTCTATAATGTGCTTTTGATTTACGCTTTAATGCATTTCTATGTATCGTCTTGTATATAAATATATATCGTATACTAGATATCTGGAATGTAACACTGTAAATACACGTTATGAATTTACACCTGCTAGTATGTAATACTGTTATACACATTGCTTATATGACCAGATTGACATGTCTAAAAAATCTTCTACTACATTAAATAATGCTGTGTTGGAATGATTGTTTGGTACAGAGAACCTGTTGCTATTCAGTAACCTGCCACCAGAAAAACACACAACTAAGCTTATACCAACGAGACAGTGCACGTTTTACACTTATAAGCTGAACCCTGTTAGCTTTCACTACTGTAATGTATTATATGGCTGAAATACTGTAAGATAATTAAAGTATGGCCTCAAGTAAGTTTTATCTCAATACAATGAATGGGGCTACAATCCACAATGGCTTTAGGGCAAATACATGGAATTTGTATATTTTGGGTTATGAATGAACACAAAGATACAAATTAATGTTCAAGCATTTTCTAATTTTTTAAAAAGGGTACTAGCAATTTAAAAGGAGGGGGTGGTAGTGGTATACTGCATATATTACTTGTATCCCTGTTGTTGGTGACCTTATATGTTTCCTATAATTGGTAATGTGACCTATACAAGCACTGAAGACCTACGGTACTCTTACTCTAATATGGTGACTATTTTTTTTTTAATATCAATTATCCAATATTTCAGGTATATAGCCTCTCTGTTGTATTTTTTAAAGTATAAAAAAAAAGCACACTGTCAGATCAAAATCTCTCATCATTTATAAGCGGTACATTGGGATGTGCCATGCCGGGTGATGTCGGTGTCATCTCACCACCCCATGCAGTACCTGGCTGATCAGGTGGTGGTCTGTCGGCTTTCTTCTTATGTCCTTTGCCATGCTGGGGATCAAGTTCTTGTAATCTTGCCAGCAGGAAGTGTTTGTCACGTCCTTCCCTGTCATGTGAAATGAATATAATGTGATCTGAGTCAGAAGCATAGTACATGTAAAGTAATACTAAAGTATTAAATAATACAATTTCTGCTTCAAATTGTCACAGAACATTAACATATGTAATTTGTTTATCAAGTAGCTGCTATGCTTATGATGAATTTCTTGAGATGCGAAATATTGGCACAGTGTACTCACAACAACTGTTCATCTGATGTTGTACTATTGAAAGTGTCAAAATCTATACACATTTATCAATATTTATAATGAAGTTGATACATTTTTCAAACAATAAAAATACATCTTTCCCAGATTATGACAGTGTGTATTTGACAAAGTTTTGTAATGTGAAAAGTGCAGCAAATTGAAATAGATTACTAAAAATAAATTCCAAGCGAAAATAAAGTATTCTACAGTATTACGTATTTGAGCTTCAGTAACAATTTAAGATGACTCCACAACAACAATCTTAAAGGTAAATAAAATACAGAAAGTACTGGGATACTATCATGATTAGCATAACATACTCCAAAAATGTTGCAGTGAATCTCATGGAATTTGTTACAAATAACAGAGAAATGTATAATTTTATCTTGTAAAATAAGAATTCAACTCACATGACCAACTGCTCTTTCAGTCTGATAACCATTTCCCTGTGTGCACTTGCTATCGAGTGATAGTAATACAAAGCCAGACTGTGGAGAGGGAAAAAACGATAAATACTGGTACATCTAATACATCTTTGTAAGTTACATACAACATACTGTTAACCGATTTATGTTTGAGAGAGACAAATTTTGTGATTCAGTGAAAATTTCACTCTGGTTCTACAACATAGCATTGACCTTTGCGGTGAATAAATTCTTGCAACGGAAATTAAACAGTCCACGGTATCTCATGATTACTCAACATACATGATAACCCCATGACCTGACCCCTCAACAGTTACTTGGCCTTAGTATGACACATAGTTACTGAATAACCAAGTTAGTGAAAGACCAAAGAAATAATTCAGTCTGACAAACAATGTAGTCCGATATCAGAGGGACAAAATGTTACCTGTACCACACTATAACTTGGTACTACTATATAAGTTCTATTAGTAGTGCATGTGCTTATGCGTTCTATGGTCAAAATAAATAATATTTTAATGTTTTAGTACATCTAATTTTTAGTTTAAAAGCATTTTTCTATTAGAGATATGCTTCTCATCGAACAAATATGGTATATAGTATTTATACTTTTACCAAACAACATAATACACTTAACACAAATATATATCACCACAAACTAAACACTGAGTTCTGTCTACATGTGTTATCATAACGATAAAAAGCTAGGCATTAAACAGTTGATTTGCTCCTTCTGTCAACACCACAAAGTACACAACATAGACCTGTGCTGAGTTCATGAATACAACATGAACTTTTAGAGAGTAATTATGACTTACCAGAGTATCACAAGGAAAGGCACAGCAAAACCAGCTGAAAAGATGAAATTAATAATATCTTGCATCCACTGCGGCCATGTGGCAACGTTGTTAGTTACTGTCGTCCACATGGTTGTTTGGTTGCGGAATGGGCCACAGGCACGTGATGGTTCAATTCTAGCAAAGAGGAAAATAACATTTATAAAGCGCAAAAGATTTAATACTTTCATTCAAAGAAAGAAAAATGTTAACAGTAGAATCCTACTCATAGATAAAATCAAAATTATTTTTGAGCCAATACAAGGATATTAGAGTGAAAAAAAGTTTGGTGACACCACTCAATTTTTAAAAAAAAATGTTGGTTTTAAACATAGCAATGGCAACAATTTTTCCATTTTTGAAACATTTTTATAATTAGTTTCTGTGGCAAAGATAACACTCGATATCTCTAATCACTGAATGGTGACATGGGGTGGAAATGTATACATCGTCACTGACAGTGTACTTTTGGTTGCCTTGAATAGTTATTAAAAAAGAGCTTTAATAAAAGAAATGTTAAAAATAAAATAATGCTGTATCATTGAGTTCTATAGAAATTACTCTTAAATTTGCATAAAATATTTCCCATTTCTTCCAAATATTGTTTAGCACTGCATAGCAGTATGTTGTTAATGCACTGTGCAATGAATCAATGTAAGAATCCTACTTTTATATTAGAATAGAAGCATAGAAGCATACAGTCATTTTCTCTCGTAATAACCAAAGACTTACTGCATTATACTGAATCCAATTGGCAGCAGACACAACAAGAATGCAATCAATAAGACCACCATAAAGAAAGTATTAGATTTGGATGCTCGATACGGTCTCGATGGTGGAAGAAAGTTGTAGATCAAACTCCATTTCTTCAAGTAGAAGAAGATGAATGATTTCATCACACAGATAGCAGGTAACAAAGGACTGAAGAATGCACCAAGCCTACAGGGAAAAGAATACATTAAATAAAAGTGTTAACCCCATCTGAGCTCATGTTGTTTGAGACACATCATAACATATTAATATTCCTGACTGAAGTACTTGGAATCAATAAATTAATAAAGCACTTCAAAATGTTGATAAGGACAAGATGTGCTCAAAGCTCAAAATCGGTTAAATAATTTTATGTTAGAACAAGCAGCCGCTCGGCTGAGATAGCCCCGCTGTTAGCAATGCATATTTCAATTAGAGAATTGAATATATCATCGGCTGACATAAGGTAAGGTATGACGCAGGACGATGAACGCCGGAAAATCACTCATATGATAAGCTCTACTCAACAAATGTTTAAAATTGTCTAATTGATATGCAAATTAGCTCATTAATATACCCATGCATATGGTTTGCAACCCAAACATTATCAGGTCTGTGCAATATCACAGAGCATCTATGTACCAAGTTTCAGATATCAGGAACACACATACATATGCACTAATCGCAAAGACTCCTATTGTGTGCTTCACTCGCAGAAATCAAAAAGAAGAATCTTTTTATTACTATGCAAATTAACCTAATTAATGTGCAAACTGGCACCAAATCCAAATTAGATTTTGCACTAATTGTAGTTAATGAATTGTGTTTTTGTTTTTTGTGCTTCACACACACATTTAATGCTAAAGACTAGAAAGAATATTTATCAAAATTATTTATCAATGATTCCTTATTGGACAAAAGCTTAATACTCTTTAAAGAATTATTCAAATTAGTGAATTTGTATTAACTTCATTAGTACCCATCTGTTGAATATTTATTGTGCTTGTCAACAAAGGGGATACACTTACATTACAGGTGGTATGGTACACTATAGGTGATACACTATAGGTTTTTTTTACATGCCTAATAGACAGTCACCAGGAATCAGATGTTATGGAATTAATTACTACAGGATAGATACACATACCAGCAGATTGTTTGAGAGTAAATAATATCCAGTACATTCTTGGTAATCTCAAATTCTTGCTGTCCAATCGCTTTGGTTACTCCACAGATGCATTTCGTTACAAGAAATCTGAAATAAAACAAATCAATATTTATCAAATACTCAAGTGGAGGAAAAGTTTCAAAGCTAGATTTAAAATATACTTGAACTTTAATAGATATCTATTTTACTGAACTACTTCATACAATAATGGTTTATGCAGTTGACAAAAAACATTCAAATTATAAAATATCTTTTTACTCACTTTCTTGGAAACTCAACAAATAATATAGTACCGCCAACTACAAAGAAATCAGTTATAGCCAATTTGTACAATTCCTGTCCAACATAAGTCTCCCAACACTGAAAGTATAAAAATGATTTGAAATGGTGAATGTCTTGTCTGTTTTTTGATCATACTAGTCTCACAAGGTGTTTTCTTTCAGTATTTATCATACTAGCCTGGTTTACATGATTCCATTATTGAACATGTGAAATGCAGAGTCAGGATACGGTCCAATAGTGAAACTGAAGTCATTTTGAATCAGAACCTGTACAATTGTACATGTGTAAATGTTGATTTGATCTAGTTTCGAAATAACGAAAGTGATTAGTTAATCTAATAATGTACAATGTATGTACCAAGTTTGAACTAAAGTCTGTCCATACATGACCAAGATCATTTACCAATTATGAATCAGATCACAAACACAAGTATTATAAGATGTATGTGTAAAGTTTGAATGCGATCGTACCAGGCACATTCAAGATGGACGAACAGACAAATGTATGGACACAGAGTCAAATCATAAGTCAGTGTCTGAATGGGAACTAAAAAGACTGTCTTAATAACATTATTATATCAAAAGTATCATTACTTATGATTATAATTACATATGCAGACTAGTATAATTCCAGCTTGAAGAACTGCACAAGCCAAAATTTTGTTTGAAGCATTTATCTGAGATCCACACCTTTTCCCTCCCTCCATAGTTGCATGTAATTCAGGTCTGGGCTAGGATAGCTCGTGAAAGCTTTACCAGTCAGCTTTTTTATGTCTGGCCTCAAAATGTAAAACAATACACTTAAAGAACACATGGATTTCAAGTTATCACTCAACAGAGAATTCACTAAGATTAGTGAAAATAACCAGCTGATTTGAAATATTTACCTGTAAGTTACTGGGTTGACAAACGCCACAGGTATCTTGATCTTCAGAATCACATACTATTTGGGGATAAATAGATGCAATTAAAACAGCCAATGATGCCAGTCTCAGAAACACTGTCCTGGAATGATAATTATATTAAACTCATTAAACAATCCAAACAAATGCTGCGAAGTACATGTATACGCAAGAAGAAACCCAAATAATAATTACCTGGATAATTTGCATAAATTAATCATGGTTTTGATATTGAATATTCAGAGAAAACTTTATGATACTGACTGATTATTCTGTAAAACCATGTGAATGTATAAAACCAGACTTAAACCAGAAGTGCATACCTGAATAATGTGAACTGTACTTCAAACTCTGGGCTGTAGTCTTCAAATCGGATTAATGCAACAAATATCATTGGCACTACTATATTAAGTGCTGTGATGGTTATGGATGGTAAATAGCTGATCAAGAACAATAGCATCTCATTATCTGTGACTGGATTATTTTTATTCTGCAAAATAACAAGACTAGGATGTGAGTTTAGACTGATAAAAACAATTGGCATAAACTGTATCACTTCCAAGCTTGTTTTAATTTTGTTAGAAACAAATGTAATAGTTGAAAGACATATTTTAACAATAGAATTGTTAGGGTGAATATCCGGTAAGTCAAAATGAAATTCAAAACACATTCAACATTAGAAGATAACCTCAAGACTAAAGTTAATACACTTTGCTTGCTTTTTAAAAGTCAGTGGCTCATCCTGCATACACATAAAACAAAGACAACAAATATGTAAATATAATTCAGCCAAAGAGTTGTAATATGTTTTTTATAAAATGAACAGCTTTGCAAATGAATATCAAATTTTCTTCACATTGCATTTGAATTGCCTGTCATATAAAGAGTGCAATCTTTCTATTGTTAAATGTATAAATTACTAAAACAGTACAAGCAAAACAAGTACGCTGATTAGGAAGATCATACATTCAAATTATTGATAACTATCTTGAACACCTTGATGGCTAGCACTATCATTACTAATTTAAACGATAAAAAGAAATAAATTAAATAATTAAATGTAGATTATAATTAGTAAAGTGCACATACCTGGAGAGCAAAGTCAGTTGTATAGTAGATAAGATATCCAGAACCAGCTAGGATGATGATAACAATAATATTAATGATAAACCTACTCGTATAAAGACCAAATTTCTGACATCCTGTACGACCAGCTCTTCTTAAGGCACGTCTTTCTTCTTCCAAATCAGTCTAGAAAATAAAAGAAATTGCTTTATATTTTCAAAAATGATGTTTCAATGTACATTAAAAAGGGTAGAAATCAAAACA